CATTACCTTGTTAGTTTAATACTTATTGGCTAAAAATGTGTGTCAAAATAAGTAATTTCATTGGTTACATTTTCGTGTCGCGACCGATCAACACATGGCTAATTTTAATATTCAAATGAGCCATGTGTTGATTAGCAAACATTGGACTGAAATTCTGAACATGCTCATTGTTTTGTTGGGGTTTGTGGGTTCTTCAATAACAACACACTGGTTACTTAAAGAGATAGAACTTTACTGTATTAAAGATGTGAGCTTCATTCATGTTACAAGTACTACAGCTTCCAGCTTACTTGACTCCAAGACCAGGAACGCCCCCTGCTGTCTGCACATGATAAGATCTACATAATGTGCTCTTATCATTACATCTCCCTTTCTCCAAAATAAAAGTATTCTTTTATAAAATAAAATTTCTGTTGTTTACTTTGTTAAACTTTGGGCAAATGTCTTAGATGACTGATCCTCGATCGGGTATTGAGGCTGTTCCTCAGCATCAGTCCTATGTTGTGCTGCTGTGGCTGATCCCTTGAGCAGATGTCGACGATTTCGTCTCAGAACAGCACCGTCTTCTGTCTGAATGGTGTATGACCTTGGTTGGATTTCACTTAGAACTGTTGCTTTCTGTGCCCATGTGTTTGTCTTGTCTTTAAACCTCACGTGGTCTCCAGCATGCAGTTCAGGTAGGTTTTGTGTTCCTTTGTCATAATAAAACTTCTGCTTAGTTTTTTGTTGCTCCTTGAACACCTTCACTCTGTTTCCCTCCACCGTTTTCAGCAGGTTTTCCTGAATGGGCAGGTTTGATCTCAGTCGACGTCCCATAAGGAGCTATGCCGATGACATACCACACTCAAGTGGTGTTGTGCGGTACACAAGCAGGCTCTGGTAGAAGTCTGTTCCACTGTCTTTTGCCTTGCACATCAGCCTCTTCACAGTTTGGACTGACTTTTCCACTAACCCATTAGATTGTGGGTAGTGAGGGCTTGATGTAGTGTGCACAAAGTCCCATTCATCAGAAAACTGTCTGAACTTTGTGTTAGAGAATTGTGGGCCATTGTCTGTGAAAACCTCGCTTGGCACACCATACCTGGAGAATATGGCCTTCATAGAGGTTATTACAGCTTCTGCTGTCATAGAATGCAGTCTACATACCTCTGGATAGAGTGAATAGTAGTCTGTGACCACAATGTAATCCTTTCCCTCAGATACAAATAGGTCAGTGCCCACTTTCTGATATGGTCGGTCTGGCACGGGGTGTGGCATTAGTGGCTCGGCAGGATTGCTTGCTTGGTATTTCAGACATGTTGTGCAGTTAGACACCTTATTTGTCACATTCTGGTTGATCCGTGGCCAGTACATCACCTCAAGTGCTCTTTTCCTGCATTTTTCAATGCCAAGATGTCCTGCGTGGACCTTCTGAAGCATCTCTTTTCGTAGGCTCTTAGGGATGACTATTTTACTTCCCTTGTAGATGATGTCGTCCACCACTGACAGCTCCGCTCTGCAGTTCCAGTACTCTTGGATGACAGGTGAGCAGTCTTGTCTAGTGTTGGGCCATCCATCTATGATGGTTTTGCTCAGTGTTTTTAGAGTCTCATCTTTGTTAGTCTCAGTTTTTATGAGCTCCATTTGCGACGGGCAGTGCACTTGTGATCATTTCCACATAAGCTTTTGCATCGTCATTCAGTTTGGTGTTCGCTGGCTCCAACGGGTCAACAGTTCTGGATAATGTGTCGGCTGTGTACATCAGCTTACCTGGGATATACATCACATTAAGTGCGTAGCGTTGCAGCTGGATCATCATTCTTTGGATTCTCAGTGGACAGTCATTGAGTGGTTTTTGGAACAATGCAATCAGTGGCTTATGGTCGGTTTCAACACTGACTGCCTGTCCTGACATATGTTATGCTGAGCAGTTCTTTTTCAATTTGTGCATATCGCGTCTCTGCATCTGTCATTGAGCGTGAAGCATATGCATTGGGTTGCCAGTCTTCATCCTTCTGCATAAGAACAGCTCCAAGCCCACTCTGTTGCATCAGATGAGATCTTGATGGGTTTTGCCAGGTCATAAAACCTCAGAACTGGTTCTGCCGTGAGCAGCCTTTTCAACTCAGTCCATGACTTCTCATGTTCGTGATTCCACTCCCATGCAACTTTCTTCTCAGTTAGCTGTCTCAGCGGTGCCATCTTTTCAGAGAGATTGGGTATGAATTTTCCCATTATAGTTTATCATCGCCAATTGAACCTCCCTGCACAGTCTTTTTGCATTGTGCCCTTGGCATGTTTGTCAATCGCTAACACTGCTCAAGATGTCTCGCCACGAATTCAGTTCCTCACTCCCGAGCTGGCATTTCTCTTTATTCAGCTTCAGATTTTCCGCATTTCTGGTTGCCTTCAAGGACTTTTTCAGTCTCATGTCATGTTCAGCTTTGTGCTTCCCCCACACAGATGGATGTCATCCACTTGATGTGTCCACTCCCGTCCAGTGTTATAAAATCATGTGTACTGGATTCTGTGGATACACTTTTTGGAGCTGAAGGCAATGCACAAATGGCAATCGCAGGAACCTGTATCTGCCAAAGGGACTGTTGAATGTGCACAGTCTTGAACTTGGCGTCGTCTAACTTCAGCTGCCAAATCCCTGATGATGCGTCTAGCTTGCTAAAGTACTTAGCATTTGGCAAACTGTAACATTATTTCTTCTTCTTGTAGGCCAGTTTGTACCATGTTCTCTCTCTTTATTGGCTCTGTTCAGAGTCTCTTGGATCGCATACCGACTCTTGGTTTTTTTGTTCCTTTTCATCCACAATAACAAGAGGAACTCACCCAATTCGGTTGGTTCATCAAGTCCTTTTCTATCCACTTTTAGGTTTTCCATCCTGTCCAATCCAGCGTCAGCCCCACCCCCCAA